GGCTTGGTGTGGGCCTTTTTTTTTTTTTTTTTTAGTCTGACTGCCCGACGAGTTCTGTCTGATATGAGGGGGGGGCTTGACCTGTCCCCCCCCCCCCCGCTGAACCACCACACCGGGTTTCTCCTACTCATCTCGAATGATGTACTGGATTATTGAATGTGCACACAAGTCATTGTGTATACTGGGCCTATGGTTTATAGTCGTTATCCAAGAAGACTTGTTCTACCACCAGAACCATAGATGAGTTTGCCGCTCAAACCATCGCCTATACTATGGTTGTAGTTTGCGACACCCCTGCTTTAACAGCTCAGGCAATCAACTTGTTAATTTATGTTATATATTTTCTGAGGCACAATGATAAGAATGTAACACATTTTTTCCTTTTTCGCTGCAACATTTTTTATTTTATGAAATGCCTGGTAGCTGTCAAAATTACTAATGGGAATCAGTTGAAAATGATTACAATTAACATAAAACCATTATAAACTAGTAGAAATCTACATAACAATATCCCAGTTGTTCTAAGCTATATTACCAGTCAAATGTTTATTTGCATTTTAGTTAGTATCAACAACAGAACATTTTGTAATTAACACAAAAAAATTAAAATTACATTTATTAAAATCCCTTTCTCTACCAGCTCATTCACTTTAAACTAATGAATACATTTGCATTATAATTATTAACAATGAACACTGAACAATAAACACAATAATTAATATCATACTTTCTTTCGATATTAATCTGAATATTCTACAAAATTATAATCCATAAAGCGGTACAATTATTTTTATGAAAGCATTATCTTGTGTGTTCAGGGAGAATCCGTAAATTGATGATAGTGAAGCAAATGTGTGCTTGCGTACTAAAAGCAAGAAAAACAAAATCGCCCAAAATTGTAAAGAATTTCTTCTTGTTTCCAAAGAAACCCAATGAATAAACAAGTTCTGAATGTTGAAATACTTGTTAACTTAATTATTAAGCAACTGCAAAAGAGATATTCCATCATTTTAATAAAATTGAAAGAGGAAAACCCAAACTTGTGAAAAGAATTTCTACAGAAATGCACAAAATACTGATAGGTTTATCCCCATAATTTTTCACCTCTAAATGATGGGAGATTGTAAACATTATATACCAAAACAAAATACTGTAGTAGATTAAAAAAAAAAGGTACTGAACAAATATCAACTTCCCAACCTCAACTTCTTTAATTGGTTGTGATGTGAGAGGCCACATGAGTTACATATACATATTCCAACATGAGCGTGGCTTAGCCGAAATTAAGAGAATGGATTCCGAAGAAGTCTCAATAAAACCTAATTTCAGGTGGGAGGAGCCTTAGTACAATGTGAAGGGATAGGTTTAGGTGGGAAGAAGCCTTTCTTGGCTAGGATATAAACAAATGAGAGGACGCCTTTCTTGGCTAGGATACAAACGAAATGGAACAATCAATGTATTACAATCTCAAGGTGAAAAAGTCTTAAAATACATAAAAAAGTAGCTAGCTGGTTGACCCCTACTGACATTGACCCCTACTGACTTCAAAGTCAATTAACCTTTAAAATACCTCACTTTCAACACTACAGGTTTTTTTTTCTCAAGTTTGCAGATGACACAAAAGCTTCAAACATGACTACATAAGAGGAAAATGCATATCTGGCATAAAAATGAAATCCAGTCAACATACTCCAATGATATATATCTTAACACTAAAGTCAAGCAAAAAAAATGTTCTTGGATTAACTTAAAATGCCTAACTATAATGGTCTGTCTATCTTACATTTCACATGCACCATCTTCAACAAAATTATCTCCTGTCTAAAAAATTATGATTTTCAGTATCTTAAAACACTGCAACTTGTCGTCATCACACACATATATATATATATTTTTTATATATATTTATATATGTATATACCAATAATTATCTTCAATGCTAAAATTCATGTATGGAAAAGCATTAAAAATCTTATATGTATTGTATCAATCTTGGTTATTATGTATTTCTATTATTTTCTGTAATCTAATTTTTAGATTAACCTATACAGTTTATGTGCAGTTAATTAAGTACTTTTTCCCATATTTGATAGCAGTTGAGCAGTGAAAAATAAACACCTCTACCCTCACTGAGAACTCACTGTATTCTGAATGGTCCAAATTATCCCTTTTTGTAAATATATATATTTCATGTTTATTTTTTCTTGTTTTTCATTTCTTTCTCATGTTAACTACACTCTAACATTTTGAATACACAAGGTCAAAAAAAATAACTACTATAACATTTTGTCTATATCTCCTTAACTCCAGAAACAATTGGTGTCTTATCTATTTGTAAGGCAAAAAAAGAAATTATTCTTTACATCTTCAATAAATGTTAATTGTATTTACAGAAAATTGTGTAGCAAAAAATACAAATTATAATTTTTTTTAAAGCATGATTTAACACTTAAACATACAGTACATATTTCTGGGTTCCACAAACTTCTAATACTTTTTCATTAAAAAAACCAAAAGAACTTCATTATGCCTAACTTGATGCCACATATTTTTTGGATACTTTCTTAAAAGGATAACTTTATATGAAAGAACACAGAACAGTTTGACTACATCCTCCACTGGACAGAATTTGCTGAATCAAGCTCTCTCTACACTATCAAATTTTACCTGTGATTTGCACATATATGAGTGTGATATGAAAATACCATGACCATATATGGACAATTCACACTTAACTTGATAGAGTGAATAAAGCTTAAGGAATGGTCAGTTATTATTATAATACGTTTCTTATATATACTTATACTTCAAACCATGTCCAGGATTAAACAACTAACTTATATGCAAAACAGACTATATCTCATAGTTAATCTCATCCATATTTCAGCATATAGAATGAAAAGTCACCCATCATTTTGGGGCAACCGCTTTTTTAAGTGTGAGAATGTTCAGGCCATACAAACTGCTTCAAAGGTCATCTTTTCCAAAACTTCATTATTTATAATCGATTTTGCAATCCCAGTCCCAGTTTTTTTTCGATTTACTTTTCCACCTGATCTTAATTTCCTCTCGAAATGGTTGATACATCGCTCTTTGTACATTTTTTATTCAAATATCTTATGTCCTGTTCTCTTATATTTGCACTGTTCTATGCAGCAAATTCTTAAATTTCTTCTAATTCCTTGAAGCGCTCACTCAGTCGTATTCTTCTGCTGTAGTCTACTAAGTTAAATGATCGCCATCTTGATTCTTATCGTCTATATCTTTACTCTCTATTATTGTCTGTGCAACAATGCAACATATTTTGGGTCCTATACATTTGTTTATCTTCTTATGCAAAAATAGTCCGATTTTTCTTCAGAGTCTATGTAAAGCTAACCCCGCATGGGGGTGGTACATGGTCGAGTTGTAGGAAGTAGCAAATAATTGCAGCTAATTTGCATAATGGTCAAATGAACCCAAATACTCTAAGGCTGCCCTATAGCAAAATTGATACTGGTCCTGGAATATGGGAAAAACAAAAACATTATTAATACTTTTTAAATACTAAAGATAGATAAATACGTAACTGAATATATACATAAGCAATTATTAATTAAATAGAACAAACAAATTACATGAAAAATATACAATATGAAAATCATGATCATAAATGGTGCTATGATGTCAATGAACCTGAAGTGTCAATCAGAATAAGACTAGGAATACCTGCCTGCTCCACCAACACACATTTTGTAACAGATTAGATGGTTATTTTTAGCACAACATCCAAGGGGCAGGATATAGTGTAACAATTTATTGGAAAATGGAACATTTTGTAGTACATGGGTCTCTCATTAGGTGTACGGTAGCTAACGTGCAAAGCAACTCAAATACCTAAGGTTTTCTTACCTCTGTTTGTACCATAGCTGGTCTTTGTGTTCTTAGCATCTTGACCGTTTGGAACATGTCCACCACACCTTCATATCTCATCCTCTCTAAGATGATACTCAAAGTTACAAAAACACCTGTCCTTCCAACACCAGCACTAAAATCAAAATAAACCATGTTACTAATTTATAATTAATACATACACACATACCCACATAAATATTAGCATACACACATAGTATTTGTGTGTATGAATGGAAGTATGCATGTATTACACATATATATTACATCATGTATGAGGCTTGCCATCCCTAAACCAGCATCAGGGACCACAAAATGAAAATTGACTTTTCCATAAATTCTCATTCTCCACACTGTAAGCTTTCAAATGATGGTGTATACGTAAATGTTGAAAAATGTCTGTGAAAGCAAGTGAATTACTTGCCTGCAATGAATACTGATAGGGCCATCTTGACCGAACTGTTCTTTAGTTTTGTGAACTTGACCGATAAAATCAATGAATCCTTCGCCGGACTTTGGCACACCTTGCTCTGGCCAGTCCACAAACTGGAACTGCCGAATTGTCCTTGACTGACCATCCTAGAAAGACGAACAAAAATTTATTTAAACCAATAAATAAGGCAAAAAAAAAAACAAAAAAAAACAATGTATTTTTAAAATAATTTGAAATTGCTGTCCAACTGCCTCGTAAAACAACCATCCCCCAACCCACCCGCCACATCATGTAGTAAACTTAAGAAAAAAACTAATATCTACTAATTAATCAAACATGTTCAATACCAATTACTAATCTGTGATCAAGTAATATCAAGTAATATCACTAAAAGTCATCTGCGCATGCGAGAATGCTAAGTTCCCCTCGTCGCTTGCATTCTAGGATCCATTTTGTCCAAATCTACATATGCAGAGAACATAGGACACCCGGTAGGACGGTCAAGCATGAGTAATTCCGTTCTAACGCAGCGTTGCTGCGTAAATCTAAAGCTCTCTATTAATAACGGCAAACCTTACCCTTGCATCAGTAACTTTGAATTCTCGCAGGATGTACTGCGGCATATTGTACTCTGACATTGGATCAACAACAAAGTATTGGTAGCGTGCGGATCTCTCGGCTGGCCAGTACTGATGGCACTTTTCACGTCCCATCTCCTTCAGTTTCGTAAGCATGACAATAATGGTGGAGTTGTGCTCCCAAAGCATCCGCCAGAAGTCTTCCGTGGTCTCCGCTAATGGGCCTTGAGTCGCGATGTATGCATTCTTGGCTCGGTAACCCTGTGAATAGTCACATTTTAAATAGCATTAAGCCCCATCCAGACTATTGCATTTTATTTCACAAGATGGTCAAGATGACATCACATTATGACCATATATAGGCACATCATGACCATATAGAAGCACATCATGACTATATATAGGCATACAACAGTTTCTATCAAATAAAAATTAATAGTCTAGACAAGCTTGTTGTTGGGGGCCTTCTTATCAATCTTTTCTTTTCAAATTCATCAAATTTAACGAAATGGAATGAAATATATTGACATATAAATTATAAGAACTACGATACATTAGCTATAATTCTAAATTTTATGTTATTCTAAATTTAGATGTTCTTTTTTGGAAGAAAACAAACACCTAATCTTAAAAAGTTAATCAAGTACAGTATATATTAACTTACATCAATATAGCTAGCATTGATATAATCAGATCCCTCGACACCTCTGATTGGCTGAAGGCAAACTCTGGTGTTTTCATATGGAAGTATGTTCACCAGTCGATTCTTGAACTTGTTGGCTGGTAAGTTGGCACTGATGAACTTTGATGGTAGGGCTTTCTGATTTGCTAATCTCTGTTGAAGAATTAATTAATTAACATGTATCAATACAGTACATAATCAAATTACAAATTAAAATTTCATGTCATTGGGATGACTGAGACACAGTTGAAAATATTATTTTTTATTTTGCCGATTACAGTGTTTTTACTACAACAATTTTTTAATTACTTTGCAGACAATTTTGATATTAAGTATGACTAATAATAATCTTATATGATTAATAACCAGAGAAAACTACTAACAGGGGCGGATCCATAGACATCCGAAAAGGGGTCCAAAAGTGGACCCGGTCGAGACAACACTACCCTACAGGTCTGAAATTTTTGTATTCTAGACGCCTCGAAAATAGACTCTGATGAGGCGTTTTGGGCAATCAAATTATTTAATTTTCTTCCTTTCTTTCTTTCTTTTCTTTTTTCTTTTTTTTTTAACTTTCCAGAAGTGCGACCGCAGCTCCCTCCCCCCACCAAATTCGCCCCTGACTAATGATTTACCTTGAATTCTAGTTCCATTCCAGTTACAGTTTCACCAGCATCGGGTTGTGTCATCTTCTGCAGGTGCATGTACAGGTTCCGTGCTGGTATCTCTGTGTTGCCGCTAGTTACCGCCTCCAGGAGTGCATCGTGGATAAATATGTACTGCTCCTCTGTCTGGACCATGTAGTTTCGCTGAGCTCGTAAGCATGTCACATGACCATAGATATCCACTGATTTCTCGTGCTTTATTCGTTCTAGCATGGAATCGATGACGATGAAGGCGCCGGTCCTGCCCACGCCTGCGCTGCAATGAACCGCGATTGGGCCTGCATCATTAGGATTACTGTTCTTTACTCGATTCACGAACTGGAGAACTCCAGTTGCATGTTCTGGCACGCCGTGGTCCGGCCATGCAGTAAATTGAAACTGCCGTACCTCTCGTTTCTCTGTGGTTCGGTTCTAAATTAAGAAATCAGACACAAAATATATAGTAATGCAGACTAACATTTAGAACAATGAAAATATTAAATGTTTTTATTTTTATCTACTATAATTACTATTTTTTAAATTGCATTTCAAATGATCATGTTTATAGGTAACTTATTGCTCGAACTGGTAGACATTTTGCTCTAGGACACACACTATTTGTTTTTTCCAGACCAAAGTTTTGTGGATTAAAAACATAATTATGAATTTAAGCATTCTGTAATCAGTGAAACTAGGAAAATAAATGCAAAGGGATAATCACATTTTATTTATTTATTTTTTATTTGAACCATATTTAATGATGGTAATCCATCCAGCAGAAAACATGTCGCTCACCTTTACATTAATGATACTGAAAGTGCGAATGATATAATGAGCCAATTCAGATGAGTCCAACAATGTAACCTGAATAGACCCGTATGTCTCAGAACCCCTCATTGGCCAGTACTGGTCACACTTCACCCGACTTCGCTCCTCCAGACGCGTCATCATAACTATCGTGCTCGTCCTGTGTTCCCAGATCATACGCCAGAAGTCGGGAATAGTCTCCGGTAGTGGTCCCTGCGTAGACATGTAAGCATTCGTCTTACAATAGCCATCGCAGAAGTTCGCGTTGATGTAGTCGCTTCCGGGATATCCTTCAATGGAGCCGAGAATGACTCGAGAGTGATCGTAAGCAATGACGTTTGCATAGCGGTTCTTTTGCTTGTTGTACTCCATATTGGAGTGGTCCCACGTAAAAGACTGGCCAGGCTCAATTGACTGCAAGAAATCATTAATTTTGTCTAACATTAACTTAAAGAGTTTTTATATTTTTAGATCAAAATTTAAGACTTTTAGACAATAAAACGTTATACCGTATTAATTTGAATAAATGCCCCCTACCCCCTTGAATAAATGTTCCTCTGGAGCCACATTTAGAATAAATGCCTTACACCCCCTTATAAATTTAGTATGGTTTGTAATATGACACGTACCTCATATTCCTGGGAGAACTTCAAGTTTTCGTTCAGCTTGAGTACCTCAATATGCTCCGCTAGATCTCCGATGGGAATTGGTGGATGTGACATCATGCCGGGAGTTTGGAAGTTGAGACGTCGCATCTCCACAGGGTCACGGGGATAGAGGGCAGTCTCTTCTTTACGTTTACATGGTTTGGGGTCATTCATTTCAGGGGGACTTCTGCCATCACAAAAAAAAAAGTCAAAAGTCAAAAAGGGTATGTAAATTTATAGTCAAAATGAAATCATGGTTTAATATTACACAAGTAATTTTTATGTAATATTACAATCAGTATATTTATATTCTAATCAACAATAGGTTATTGTCTAGTACATTTATCTCAGAAAAATAATGCATGGAATGGCATAATACCCATTATTTTAATTACAATTGAAATTATGATTACTAAAATGGTTAACAGAAGAACAGAGCTAAGCATTTGGCAGAGAGGTAATAACAAATAACCCTCATGTGACATCTATACTGAAGGGACAATATATCCGACACATGTTGGTACTGGGGCTGCATTACCACAAGTACCCAGGGAGCCCCCGTGAAAAACAACAATTTCAAATACTTGAAACTGGACAAAAAAGGAAAATTTATTATATATTATTATTATTATATTGTTTTATTAAGAATATGCAAGTGATATAAGGACAAAATTGATTAATAATAGGCCATATTTCTTCAGTGGAGCATGAGTAAATAAATTACTATTATGATCACTATCACATTACAATTATTATTATTATTATTCTTAGATATGATGCACCACCAGACATTTTACATTGATGAAGGGAAGGAAATCCACTCACTCTTGTTTTATAAAAATTAACATAAATGTTTATCTCTACAAAGATATCTCTGAACAAGAAAGACATTTATCAAAACAGATTCAAAATTGACACCAAGTAGAAACCTTAAATTATGCAACATGAAATCACGAGAATTGCCCTCAGCAATCCAGGTACAACTCACCTTTTCCTGCAAACAAATACCAAAATGATGATGATGACAATAAGGACCACAAGACCTGCTGCTCCTGCGATGATCACCATCATTGGCGGTTGTTGATCAGGTGCTGGTTGTGCAGTCTCCGATGTTCGCTGCACACCAGCTTGCAAAGTATCAGAGAATGTACTGAACACCCAACCATAACCCTGGAGATTGAGAAACAAATATAAATAGGGTCTGATTATGGAGTGATAAATAAAACAAGCGATCAACTAGCATCCAGCTTACCTTCAAAACCAGTGGTGTATCTATGAGTCCTAGAAATTGGGGGGGAGGGAGAGGGGGCTGATGGAAGGGGCACGAAGGTGATCTCAAAGATTACTGTAGGTGAGGGGGCATTAGCTCTCAAAATAAAGCAATTTAAGGTGATTTGTAATTATTTGACTGATTTGGAGGAAGATGAGCAATTATCTGTTTCCCCCTACACACCCCCACGGAAGTGTACAGTATTTAATAAATTCTCATTAAATCATTGGATTAAACAGCTTAAAGCCCCATTCCCGGCAAAATTTCAGTTTTTAAGAAAAATCTAATTTTTGTATAATGTTATAAAGATTTATATATAATACGGAATTGCTAGTTTAACTGAATTTAGACATTCCTAAGAATGAATAAAATGTAAAATAAGACTGAAATTTGATTTTTTGTTCCACACAAAAAATAAATGCGGATGAATTTCTCATTTTGATTTTGCGATAGGTTGTGAGAAGAAATATCGTGGGTGCCGAAAACATTAGCCTATCCAGCGCTGCTAGGCTAGGCCTAGCCTTGCCTCGATTTAGATTCTGTTATCACACATAAAAACGACCGACATGATATTTTCCGTTGCTAGTATTGATACTTGTGAAATATAATATTTCATAGGAATTATTTCAAATATGTTAAAAAACTGATGCTGACTGAGATTTTGACACTTAAACAAACATATCTCAGCATTAATCGAACGACTGCATTGTGCAAGATACGAAGTACAAAAACTAATCTCAATAGAGAGGGCGCACTTTATTGACTGTATAAAAGTATACATAAAAGCGAGAGTATTCCAGTGGATACGATCTACAACCTCTGAATTTGCCTAGTAACGATGAATTCATCCAGAAAATGGTAATATTTTATGAGAAATAGTCTGTATTTCTCATTTTTTTAAATTCTTTTGCGTAAACTAAAATTCATGCCAATATTTTTCCATGATTTGTAATAATTGGAGTAATGCAAATGGATATTTTCTAAAAAAAGTCAGTTTTTAGTGAAATTTTGCCGGGAATGGGGCTTTAAGTATCTTTTACGAAGGTGTACTGTAGTAACTCTTGAGAACAAGAGGTTTAAGTACATAGTTGTCATATTTTTGCCCATCCCCAATCATAAACTCTGCACACTCCCCCCACCCCCAAGTGTATACAACATTCAATAAATTCTCATTAATTAAATCTTCATTAGATTAAACAGCTTAAATACTTACATTATCAGATTTCGTAGCGTATTGTATAAAAAAGGTGTAGTAATTATTGAGAACAAGAGGTTTATTCACATAGTTATCATATTTTTGTCCATCCCCGATCATAAACTCCTTGTTAATTTCATCAGAACTCAATTTGGCCGCAATATAACGACCTTCGGTGCCAGCTTGCCTGCGCAAACGGGGGTGAACAGAGCGCCTCTGCATTGTTAATTCTTTGTAGAATCCCAGGCTGTCTGGATCACCAGTTGGTGCATTATCCGATTTCAATTGAACAACAATAACATAGAAAAACCTGGGAAAGGAAAGAACATTACAAGAATTAGGTTACATGATAAATTTTGGAAGTTGAAAACTCATCTTTGCATCTTTTTTAAGAGAATATTTTTTTCAAAGACTCTCTTTTTTTATTACAAATGTTTAAGAAGAAAGCCCCAGTTGCCCAGCACCTCATTATGGCCGCTAGGTAGCCACAGACCATGCCCATGCATGACATGCACAATGATGCTGCAAGTTATGGCTTATTCTTCTACCTTCATTTGACTTTCATACAGTTGTTAGTTTAGCTGATTTGGTTAGTGGGTAAATACCAACAATATATTTAAAGGAAATACAGGGTTGAAACGAAGTAATGTTGGTCCTGGTTAGCACTGCACTGCGGCAGCTGCTGCGGGTCACCAGAGCATAGCCGAAATTCCCGATTAGAATGAGGACAAATAAAGAATCATTATTGTTGTTGTTATTATTTTACCCTTTAAATATTATTATTATTTTACCCTTCAATTACATTGAGTAAAGTTTTTTTCTACTCACACAACAGGAGATGTTGTATCGCTTGGTATTGGGATGGTAATTCTCACAACTGGCTTGTCCTTATAAGAGGTAACCTGTGGACTCTTTGGAGCTAAAATATGAAATAAATAGAAAGGTGTTAGTACAAAATAGTCTCGGATTAAAAATTAATGTTGAAATGATGGTGAAAAAAAAACCAAAATTTACATGACAAAAAATGTGATATGCCCATATTAGGGTGTAATATGACATTACCATACCCATATATGGGTGCATCACATGTGTCATGCCTAAAATATGGTCATGATGTGATATCATCATGGTCATATTTATGCATGACGCATGTTTTTGTCCTAGTGTAAAAACTTCTTATATTTCTTTTATTTTCTATATGAAGACTTGCTTTTTAGCTTTTTTCTTTATCGTTGTCGTTGAAGTATAAACAGGCCTTTAAGCTGTGACCACACTATATAATTTTCATCAACAAAAAACTGTTGTATGCCCATATATAGTCATGATGTGCCTATATATGGTCATGATGTGCCTATATATGGTCATGATGTGATGTCATCATGATCACATTTTAGGCACGACACATGTGATGCGCTTACATATGGGTATGCTAATGCCTAATATGGGCATATCATATTTTTTGTCACACAAAATCTGATAGAGTGGACAAAGCTTAAGGCTAATGATGCTATCAAGTATTTTAAACTACTCTTTTAGGATATTAAGTCTTAAGATTTCAACCTTCCTTGTTAACTAATCCAATACTTCTTATTATGAGTCTGTTTAACTATGTTCACTTCACGCTCTTTTACCAAGTCTTAATTTTAAAAGGCTTGAGACTGGTGTTGTTTTCAGTTAGAAAAATTTCAAATCTTTTTTGACAAGAGTAAAACCAGAACCTTGGGGTTGAAAGACGGCATGTCTTAACAACAAAACCACAACCCCATTCCTAACGCTTGAAAGTTTTACAAAAATAATAATAAAAAATAATTCAAGAGTGATCAACAGAACTAAATTACATAATATACATTAAATTGTCATTAAAATATGTATTTTTAGAAATCAATAAACATATACATATTTCAACTTCTATATAGGAGTTATAGCAATTCTTCCTTTTGCTTTATAAAAATATTTATATATAGTATATAGTTCAGCCTGCACAACTTTGATACCAAGTTTGTCTACAAAGAGTGCCATCATTGCCCTATTTCATGCAAGTACAAGTAATCATTCTCTCCAGTAAAGCATATGAAAGCATTTTTTTCTTCCAGAAGCAGTTTACTATAATAAACCCAAGATGCAATCAAGCGCTAAAATGCGAGCCACGTCAACTGAATCGTAGGTAGACGCACGCAGAGGCCATCATCACTTGATGCTGAAACAATTTCTAGATGTCATGTGATCAGAGTGAATGTAACAGAGTAGTATATACCATACCAATTATAGGATGGTAAACATAACTCATAGTAATGCTCTAAACATAGTAATCATTTAAATTAGATTATGTATGAAAAATCCTGTTGTCTAAAGCAGTTAAACACAAATCCCTAAAATTTAAAGAGAGGTACACTAATGTCAAACTGTTACTCTCACTCCATCCATTAACATAGAAACTGCTCCTTTCTTTATAACAATTCTATAAAAATATTATTTATTTACTTTATTTTAAAATAATTCTTATTTACACTGTATGAAGCTAGTGCCCAGTCATGCTTCATGCTGAAATACTTAAATAAAAAATATTAAAAATATTTTTATCCAAGTGAATATATATGGAACTTGAATGTTTAATATGTTTGTAATCTTCCGGAATCAAACTCAACTAGCTTAGTTATGGCAGTTCTGTTTTAATAATCATAAACATTATACATTAATCTTACATTTACATACGAATGCGAAGATTAATGCATCCACGACCATTGCATTAAAATCCAAATCCTACCTCCCTTGAAAGTTAGATTTTAAAACTGAAACTATCAAAGTCAAATTTGGTTGATACTTTATCATCTGCTTGTAGATCTGAGTGCACACCTTTGAAATAGGTGCAATGCATGAACAAAGCTAGAATTATTTTAGGAGGGATAGCAGACTACCTTCAATCGTTTTTACAAGAGTAGACGTTGCGGCTGTCGTACCTTGCCTGCTGGTGTTGACAGCTGTTGAAGATAGAGTCAATGGAAAGATTCAATTTGTTGAAAACACCGGAAACACTATGACTAAAGGCTAACTCAGACAGCGATGCAGCTCGACGTGATTTGTTTTTGTGTCGGGTCTGTCTGAGTTAAACGCAGACGCGATGGTTTGCAATGGGGTCAGTAGTATCGTAGAATAGTAAACATGTTTAATATTTCTCACGACGACTTTAGACTGTCCCCGACAATGAATTGTGTCGGGCTTCCTCGTACGACGCTGTCTGAGTTGGCCTTAACACAAAAGACCATGGAAAATTGTAATGCGACACGAAACACGAAATTATTTCATTCCAAGTCAAAATTCTAGCGCTTAGTATTTTAACATAACAGATTGCGAGAACGTTAAATTAATGGCTGATCCATCAACGACAAAGCGATTTCATTCTAATGTCACTACATCGACTTCAATTACATTCTTAAATGAACGACAACAACTCCAACATATACTGAAACATCAAAATCCAAGGTAAAAAAAATGAATATCGTACATATATATCTGACCATTCCGACTGGAATACATCTGTAGCCTCTCATTTTTATCTTATAATTTTTTAATTTATAATTTTTTTCTCTGAATGTTTGCATTCATAAACACTCCTTTATCCCTCTCTCACCCTAACACCGTTTCGCAGATTTAAAGGTAGAACTACAATCAGTACGGTCACATATACAAGTATCTTTACTCAATATGTACATAACGATATATGTATACAGAGTAATGGAAAAAAATGTGTTTGTGGATTCCAATTATGGTTATATTTGGGTGATAAGGGGTAAAGTTACATTTGAAATATAAATGAAATGCAAACGACCAACTAGAATGATACAAAAATACAGCAGTACATATCAAAAATTCTGAATTAGAAACAACAGACTTGAAGGCAACTTTAGAAATCGTCGCTCACATCACGAACTAACACAATTAAATTCAATTGTGTTAGTTCGTGAAATCAAAAAAGCGCGTCAAAATACGCGCTGCTGTCGTTAAGGACTTTTTGTGTGGTAAAGAATACAAAATTGCTTGACAACCAATACGCGCTCGTATTTGACGCGCTACTGTGATTTCACGAACTAACACAATCTACTTTGATTGTGTTAGTTCGTGATGTGAGCGACGAAATATACAAATTTTGCAAGAATACTTTGAAATAGCAAAAACAGACGAAATATTCAAATAGGTGTAACAACATATCATTAAATAATAAATATATGAACATTTTTACAAACATATGCTTAAAACTACTTATACCACAATGCATACAACTGTATATTTAGCATCAAGAACACTAGTAGGACCTAAGTTATAATTGTCATCATAATGGTTTGCATTAAAGTACAGTTGATGTTATCAATAGATGATGATGATGATGATGATGATGAAGTTGATTGTGATATATTTTTATGGATTTATGATTACAACATTACTAAAGGTTGTGATCATGATTGGATTAGAAGGAATGCCAATAATTACAATGAGGGTTTGAATAATATAGCGTTGTGAAATTGTGATGTTCACATAGACTTAATATGGAGGAGCACGCCATCTACGTGAAAGTAGTCTTGATTGTTTTATTAATGGTTATTTTAAATTCTTCCATGGTATACTGTACAATACATTATATATTCAGTTGTTGTGATGATGCTATGATGAAGGTCGCTGATGAAAATGATGTTGATAATGATAATGATGATGATGTTGTTGATGTGTTGATAAGGAAGACAATAATGATGATGACAATGAGGATTTATTTATTTATCAATCATTGTATTTATTTTCATGCATTTAAGTCATTGAGACTATTGTGTAATGCACTATATTAGCAAATGTATTATACATTATCATTATTTACAATGATGATGATGATACTGCTGATGATACTGATGGCTATGACAACAATAATGATAATGATTATACAAATGATACCAATAATAATGATGATGCCACTGATAAGAATGTTACTGTTTACTTTGATAATAATGATTATGATTGTGATAATAATTATGATGATGCAAATATGCATTCATACCTTCATCAGTTCTTGTGTAGGTCCAGACCTTAGATCCTGGTCCGTCATCAAATGATGGTGTCAACGTGAACGTATAGTCCAAATCCGGAAACAAAAGGCTAACAAGAAAAACATTTTCAGTTCCATCCACTATGATTTTCTTACCAGCATCCTCGTTGTCAGGGTTGAAGAAAACCAACTAGTATGATTAAAAAGAAAGGTTTATTCAAAAATAAGTACATAATTATCTATTTAAGAACATTGGAATTAGATTTTAGTATTTAGATACTGGTTAAAACACACTCAACACTAAAGCCTAACTACTACTACTAAAGCTAGCAGCTGCACTATAGTATATCTAGTCATAGGTAGGCTGCTTGGCTATTACTATTTAGCCTAGCCTTAAGGCCAAAGACCAAGTAGCCCCATCTTACACAGGAGTAGGCCTAGACCATAGGTGGACTTAGCCAGCATATCCTTAGTTCCATAAAGTAAGCTGTTGTTATTTCAATGTTCAAAATTGAAACATTCCAGTGACCATGAGTAAATGCTGCATGCACTCTGATACTTTATTCAGTTTTATATTATTTTTATTATTATTGATTACAGGTTGTACTCTTAAACTTGCCTTATATTCAATAGGATTCCCGCGTGGCGGCCTCTCCCATTCAAGCTCAGCGAAGTCAGATCCAGTACGTGTCACAACAAAGTTTTGAGGTGCTCTAGGATCTGAAAGAACATGTGAAAAGTATTTGTAAACAGACTTACAAAAAAAAAAATAAATAAATAAATAAAACAAGTAACATACTAAAAATAAGTAACAGAAATGCTGTGTAGAGACTTACCGACAGTGGTTGTTCGTAAAGATACTTCTTGCGATGGAGGAGAGTCACCATAACGACTTTGCGCTTGGACAACAATCGTGTAAAGATCACTCTCCTCTAGGTCCTGTAACATCACCCACGTAGGTCGTGGAACAGTTGCTTTAACGTTCCAGTCTTCCAAAGGTAAATTCATCTTAGCACCACGCGCATAGTATACCCGATAGCCGTCGATGGTGGTTGACTGAGAAGCAGGCGGCTCCCATTCAACGCGTATGCTATTGCCGTTAATTACAGTTGCAGTTACAGATGTAGGAGGCTGCATAAGACCTGAGGAAGGAAAGTAAAAATACGTAGTCAATTTATATGTACTCATCAAAGATTATCCAATATCTTTTAAAATTCTATTCCTTACTACTGTATGTCTAATTCAATTTCAGAGCACAAAAAAAGTGGTTAAATGGAAGCCAATTAATTTAGAAATGTAATGTTTTATAATAACTTTTTCGTTTTTTTAAGTACAGTTCACACTATCAAATTTGATGTGACAAATTTGTGTGATGTGCCCATATATGGACATGAATGTCATAATATGGGCAGTCACATAAAATTTGATAGTGTGGACAAAGCTATAATTAGATTGTAGTTTTGTAGTGTGATTGTAGGATTTGATCCCAGGTGTGCTAGATTGGAAGGTGGGTGTTTCTATTTCAACATCTATCATACTTCTGACATTTAAAGCATTAATTTGGTTGAAGACATACCATCTGTGAATGAATGTAAGTAATAAATGAATGTAAATTTAAATTAATACGTAATTTTACATAGTTTGTTGAATAGGCTAATTTACTAGCTTTCAATTGGGAATTTTAATGACAGAGTATTTTCCCGACCAATTAACAGATAGATAAGAAAGTTCCTATCTTTTGCACAGACCATTAAATCAAATCACCATTAAAGCATTTGTAGTAGAAGGGCAGCAAATCAGTGAAAACGTTGTTTGGTCTGTGTTTATAATATAACTCTCATGGGGCTTGCCATGCCAAAAACTGCATCAGTGACCAAAACAGGAAAATGACTTTTAATGTATTCATATTCTCCACCTATATAAGCTTTGAAATGATGTGTCATTTACTGGAATCGAATTACTATTGTCAAAGTTTTACGGTATCTCTGTACTAAGACGAGCCTTCTTTCATACCTTGTTTCGCGAACTTGTTTTTTTAAAGATTGTCAGAGGAGGGTGGAAAAAAAAGTAAATTAAATTTTGTTTTCTTATTTAGCAAATAGCTAAAAACATCCAGACGGAAGAGAAAATAAAAATAAAATGCTATTGGTAATGTATGCACTTGAATGTAAACACTTTAGTAATGGGATGGTTAAAGGATTTAAATTTATATAATTAGGAATAGAAATAGGCAATTTTTATTTTTGGAGATTTCAAGGCAGCGGCGGGTGTAATAAAAACATTTAATTTTTTTTTCTGAAATTTCCATTTTTCTCTGGTGGCAGGTGTGCTAATTAGCCAAAAATAAAATTTAATTTCTATTTGAAATCATCGTTTTTGGTGGGCAGCGGGTTCGCTAAACAAGGTATAACAAAAGTCTCGCCTAAAGTATATGAGACTGCCACATTTTAATTACTCAGTTTAACAAATTAACATCGACGAGATTTGATTAGCAGACAAACCCACTAATCAGCGAGCGTCATTCAGTCACGTGATCAATACTTTTTTTTTTGGGCATTTTAATTTCCTTAAACAGTTGGTTTAAACGCGAAACATATGTGAGCCTAGCCTAGGCCTAGATGTCTATGCTTGGTTATAGATACCCAGATTTACACGAGCACTGCGCATCAGTGACTTGGCCTTTGCCGACAACAAGGTTGACTGAATGCGGCTTTTCCCTCTTCCTTTGGGAGCGAAATACAGAGGCTTTACAACAATTTCCCCGCCATGTTCCATGAAATAGATTAACATTATGAATATATGATTCATTTGCATACTGCCTACTCTGAATTCTCTTTCTTAAAGAAGGTTGATAGCAAAGAAAATCTTCGCCATCTCGGGAAATCTTGCCGCCATTGTCTAAGGTTTTTGTGACTTTGTGGGCGGGGCTTTGCATCCTTGTCGACATGTCAATTAGTGACAGTATGCTGGTTTTGGGAAGGCAAGCCTCATATAGTTCCTTTAAAATGAGCTATTTAAAGTCAGACTCTGGAGGGAAAAAAAATGTTGATATGTTGTAGCACTGATTTTGAGATACAGATTTTAGAATATTTAAAAACTGGGGGAAAAGGTGTAAAAAAGAGCGGTTACTCCCCTTTTTCGACCAGTTTTTAAATATTTGAAAATCTGTATCTCATTCACCGTTCCCCAGTTTTTCGTCAGACAACTTTTTTCTGTTTTAGAAAAATCAGTGCTGCAACATATCAAAATTTTTTTTTTCTCCAGAGCCTGACTTTAATGTTTTCATTGATTTGTTTGAATTATGACAGATGGTATATTTTTATAAATAAAATCATACTGTGAATACAAAAACCACTCAGATCCAGTTTTCCTACGGTTTACAGTTATTATATTTTGTTTTTGACTATTACTAATTTCTCTTACAATAAAATGTTAATTAATAAATTTAATTACAATTTTTGCCTTAAAGGCATTAGAGATCAAAAAAGCTGAAAAAGAAAATCTAAAAAGTTACAACTAGAACAACATTAACGTTCAGTTAACATGACAAATCCCTCACAAAACACAACTACAAAACCAACACATACACCATTGCATCATAGACTGCATGCAATTAACAGCTAACATGCAAAAAGGGATTCAAAAAAACATATAATATGATTTATAAATATACAAGGAAATGTGTAGAAGTAAAATAAGCTGGGTTCCAATGAGGTAAAAAATGCAGGGGAAAAATAATCACTCATTTAATGAGAAATAAATAACAAACCTTTAGGGTCTGTTGTTTCTCTAATTTCATGGCTATACGGCCCGCTACCAACCGCTGTATGAGCCCGAACTTCAAAAGCGTACATGGTATTAGGCTGAAGATTTGTGTAGATAATGAACTTGTTGGTTGTCTCCAAGCCGGGTCCCCATCGTGAGGAAGCCGCCTGGCTGCTATGAACGGTGTATCCTGTGATGATCCCGTTACGATCCATTGCGACTGGTTGGTCCCACGTTAGTTTGATACTTGTGCTGTTGATAACTACTGCACTGATATTGGATGGTGGACTATAGGGGGCTAGAGGGACAGAAGAAAAAGAGTTTGTAGCATGCCCCCGGTGCACATCATGCAAAAACAAGAGTAAATTTTAATATTGTGAAATTTCAGCAATAAATTTTGAAAGTCTGTATTGCTCTCTGCCAAGCCAGTTGATTGATGTGGTGTTCATATGATGTTAAGTATTATGAATGATGTGTATTAAATGTAAAGCAGCTGAAATTTCATGGAAAACATACACAGAGAAAGCAACAGAAATTACTGTACTGACTGACAGCAACATCTTAAGATAATTTCCTGCTTAAAAAACCACTCAACACATTTAGCAGATTTATAAAGCTTTGAAAGTTAAAGGAAGTTTATTTTCTTCAGTGATAAACCTATATAGCTTCTCAGTTTTGCTTTATATTTATCAACAAAAATTTTTTTTTTTTATTTAAAAGCTTTCCAAATTTGGCTACACTAACACTTATTTATGTATTAGTCTGGAAGGGAGGTTTCTGTCTCTTTTTTCATATGTCCAGTGAAAATTTAAAATAACAGGCGATGGGAAGGGAATTCGCTCATATAGGTGATAGAAATATAGAAGATTTAAATTTGACTATGAACAAATTAATCAAATAACATATTGTTAATTTCATCACAAGTAAATTTCCTGCACAATTAAAATCGAGACGGTACTGGGTTTGGTCTACAGGAGCTCGTGCTTCGTACAGGTAATTCCATTTGTAGAAGAAATGGAGAAGCGTACCTGTCATCAGCCATAGTAGATAGCCTAGGACAGTTGTACAGTATGTAACAATTTCAACCTGATCACTACATGAATATAGCTCGCTAGGGGAGGACACTGTACTATAGCAACTTTTAAATAATTAGCGTATTTGCATTCCAACCTAATAGTAACCTACCTAAAGACCCAAACAAGTGACTGGTCTTGACCTCTAAATATTTGCGCATGACTTATTAAACGAAACAAACATTTTTTGCAATTATAGGTAATTTAGACAAGGACAATTCCAGAAAAAAATGTTAAAAGCTATGTATAAAAGCAGTGTGCGTAGAAGAAGCTATTTGCAATTAATAAAACTATCATGCAAGAAGAAAAACTACTAGGAATAGATTTCACTTATACGATTGTAGAATCATGAATTACTAATATTTGATTCACCCGAAAAGCAATGACAAGAAATGCACAAATATAATGTTCAAAAACGTTTTCCTGACACAAAAATTTTAGAACAAAATACATGACAAACATAAATGGAAGAAACATACCAAAAACATAAATTTGTATTTAATGTGGAAACTAATTCTATTTAATGAGTTAATTAATCTTTTACTTATTAATTCTATATTGTTTCCATAATAATTAATCATCATCCAGTTTTTGCATATCTTGAAAATCTTTCAGATTGTCCAATTTACTTACCGGCCTCAGGTAAAGTATATTCAATCGTTGCCTTTTGTCCACCTCCGGCAGCGTTGTTAGCCTGTATGGATATTGCATATGTTATTCCATTGTCTGGTAAAAAAAAAATGTAATATTATATTGTTAGTGACTTTTAGAAATTTAATTTGAAGATATTATTTTTTTTATAAAATGCTACCACTAATGATTTTCTTACTAAAAATGCAATTATTGCCGCTATAATACTGTAAAGGAAGCTTTTGATTTCCGCGACATCACCACCATAAAACAGACTCGCTCATTTGTGACCATCCTGCATTTTTTTCACACCACAGATTCGGTCAAAATTCGGTTGCCAACAAGACCTGAACGCTGTTGCCGCTGATGGCTTATTGTGATTTCATTACGTGCCGAACCTTAATCATCGTGCAAACGAAAGCTTCTTCCCAGAACTAATTTTTGATTTGGTTATTTGATATGTAGGCAATCAGACACAACATGCAACAATCATGACTCCCTTTGGAGTTACTCTAGTCAACTAATTTGCATATTCTACTATTTATACTCCTAGGTGGGATGATGGTAATGTTGCTAAAATGCCAAGGACTCAAACTTGCAAATCATTGGAATGTAATCAAAAAGTTTTTGTTCACCATTTGCATATTCATAAGCAAATTCTTAGAAGCAACATGAATTTGTAGCGCTTATAAGACTCCATTCCATTTACATTACACATATTGCCCCAGTAAATGGGGGTAAGTGTTGTGATAAAAAAACATCGATTTGAGAAAAAGCTCGTAAAATAACCATATATTATCATCAGTTATTGAAGTGATATCATCTCATTTTTTAAAATATTATATTTATTTTTTTATGTTTATGTGCATGCTCAAGTTACACTTATGTACATCTTTATGTCAATATTTATACTATCATTTTTACATTAATGTATTTATAAAACCAGTTTTAATAATTTAATAGTTTTAATAGTTTTTTATTTTAATAATCGGTATTTTGACTTAACAACTTACACAGATTCTGAAGTTCATGGCTATTCTGGGTGGATTGAATGTTCAATTTGACCATGCGGCCGCCATCTGGCTTGTACTCAAGTGTGTAACCTTCGATAGGACCGAAAGTCGTAAGAGGAGGATCCCACGTTACAAGATAGCGCCCATCAGAATCATCCATTACAAAATTCTGGGGTTTGCTTGGAACTGAAAGGAAATCCAATTGTCATTAAAACAGTGAAAATATACACTATATCTCACCACTTTCGATCTCGAATTAGTATTTGTGAATATCTACACTAATGTGAATTATAGAAATACAGAAGTAAAAAAATGACAACAGAGAAAATAACACGGAGAAAATATATATAAGACTCATCACCTGGAGGGGCCATTGTTGTGGTGGAAGCTTGTGGGAATAAAGTATTTTATCAGTATCAAAGTGCTGTCACTCTCGTTTAAATAATAAAGAATAGAATCAATATACTAAAAAAGGATGAATGATGACAATGATGACGATGATAATGATGATGATGATGATATGATGATGATAATAAAGATGAACATTATGATGAGGTGAAGAATTGTGATTATGATTATCATAACATGATGATGAGGTGGAAAATTATGATTAACATGGTGATGATGACGATGACGATGGTGAGGCCAAGAAAATAATGTTGCTGCCCAAGTTTGACCAACCTAAAATCTCAAATGTTGCAAGGGGAGAGCAATTGTTGGTACTGAACAATAGAATTAGGGATGGATTATTAGAAATAAACAGTCATTCAAGCAAACCTAATTTTAAAATTGCATAGTACTTGGGCAACACAATATTATTTCATTGGCCAAATGAATGAATTACTATTACTAATAATATTAACAGTAACAAATAACAAAAAGAGTAACAATACAAAAAGTAATATCAATAAAAATACCAATATCAATGATAATATTATTAATAATAATAATAATAATCATATCAATAAATAGTCTATGCTATTACAACAAATTTAAGATATACTAATATTATCCTTACCTGCACCTAATGTACGAACTGACTTAGCTTTTGTTCTTTCACCATCACCCATTGAGGTGTAGGCAGCAATCTCCACCTCATATATTGTGTTCGGTTGCAATTCTGTGATGTTAACAACCTAAAACAAAAAAAACCAAAAAGAAATTACATTATTACCTTATATATGCGAAAAAGATACAACAATATTGGTGGAACTATAGTGAAGCTGAAACATGGTATTATCAAGACATTTGCTTTCCGATTCCAGAGTCCAGGATTCGAATCCCATTAAGTGACAAGATTTTTTTTTTAACAACCAAAAACAAGTTCACTCCCTACACTCCATAAAATACACTTTATGCAAATGTATATATGTATATGTTGTAAAATGGATTGTCACTTATGGTGTATTTTTTACTCAAATTTACATGTGCATTGCATTATATATGGCGAAAGGGAAGCTTAGCTTTTGGTTAATTCTGGGCCATGAATTTAGAATTGAACTTCATTATTATTATCATTATATCATACTTATGAGACAGTAATTTATTCACTATCTTTAATCCTTGGCTTATGCCTAAATAGATAATCTTGAGAAATTTAGATTACAAACATCCTTTCTGTGTAGAGGCAAATTACAGATAATAATACTGTCCATAATATATTATTGTACAAAATAGGATTATTTAGATAACAAATTAAAAAAAGATATAAAGTATTGATAAATTTAATTCTCATTTGTGCAGTGTGCATATTGATGCATTTAAGAACATTAATGGGTGTGTCGAGAATGTATCAACAAGTATCTGTTATGTATATAACATCACAGCAAATAACTGGGATTGCAAAATTAAAAGATGTCTACATTGTCATTTGTCATAATTAGCAGGATTAAATTTAACACGATCACACACAACTGAACATGTACTGTCAGAACATCAAGTCTACGGAACTCTCAAAACCCTTTGCTGGCCTTGTCTCGTTGGAGGCAGAATGAACTAATGATATGGATCAAACCACAGGCACTGTGACCTACAACCTTTTAATCATTAACAAGAGGGCGACAGTCAACATTTATGTATAGGTTGGAAAAAATTAACGCCTCGCATGACATGTATTAGCTAGAACTACAATCTCATAGATCATTGAATAACAGAATTGAGATGTGCTTAACTTTGTGAAGCAATTCCAACTGACTAATTGTCCATCACTTTCCCATCCCCTCCCCCTCCCCTTTATACATTTAACTTGTGGTAACTGGGAGGAAAAGTGTAAAATTGATGGTGAACATGTTTTATGATGAAAGCACGTATTAGGCTTTGTGCTTGGGGCAATACACAAAATTCATCAGCACATTTATATGATTTGTATAATTTGAACAGTTGCAAATTATAGGAAATGCAAGGATGAATGCAAAAAATAATAAATAAAATTAATGTTTATTTGTCAGTATGAATTTGGAAAATTGCCAACAATCAAACAGTAAATGTTTTTGAAAGGAAAGAAAACATCCACTTTGGTTATATAGTTTTCCCTATGCTTAATTTATATAGGTCTCCCTCTAATTAAAGACTTCCAAATTAAGAAGACCTCCAATTAAAGAATACCTCTCTGTAGTCCCCAAATGAATGTTTTTTTTATATATTTTGTTTTCTAATTAAAGACCAAAGCTTCTTAAGACCATGGAAAAAGCTTAGTCCCAAAAGTGGTCTTTAATTGGAAGGAGACCTATATTCAATTTAAATCATTTTAGTGATGTCAGAGGTGACAGAGTTTAAAGGTAAAGATTTTAAAGAAGGAGAATAAACAGTCTTTAAAATATTTAGATTTTGTTGATGCCTGATTCCTTGGAGATCTCTCGATAGTATTTCAATTTTGGAAGTCCTTAGAGTGCATTTTGTGTTTATTATTTTCACCTTAATAAATAAATTTATTTAATATAGTGCAAGACTACAAAAAAAAAAGTTCTTGACCCAATTATACGAGGCAACTTTAATTTCGTGAATCTTTAAAATGTGAAGCTATTCTAACTAATTCCCAGCCACCGTCTCCTCAGCTTGAAGCAGGATAGGTTTTCGGAGGGAGTGTTGAAAATAATAGGAAGGGTTTTTACCAATACCTGTTGCTCTTGGTCCTTCTATTCGCAGTAGCAGGAAAAGATGAGGCACACGGGAAGAAGATGAAAAAAACCAAGCAAAGTTAGCAAATGCGTACAGGGGTAAAAATGAGAGAAAAACAAACAAAAAAACTAATTAATGCAAGCACACCAAAGATAATTTTCTTATTGAGCTACCAATAAATATAAATAAATTATTAAAACTATTAAGAATAAATATGCCAATGCAATTTAAAGCAGAAAGCTAAATCTCAAAACTAATCCATATATGTATAATATAATTATTCTAGATTTTATAGTAATAACTAAAACAATCCAATATTATATATACATACATATAGGCTTATATATGCATATAT